AAATAGAGGAAAGCACTTTTTCAATCTCTTATCAACTCACTTATTGAGTCTCAGATAGTGCTTAAATTTTTTTGAAAAAAGATTGGCTAAATGATATGGTAAACCCTAGTAAATCAATTTCTTAGTGAGTAGATGTTGTAAAATTGGTATGTGTTTGCATAGTTTACACATTGGTATGTGTTTGCATAGTTTACTTAATGGAGCTTGCCATAGGATAAGCCCCAATGATAACGTGATAAATAAGTGTGAACTTTTATGTGGCAAGTATTTGGGCTGTGTTTTTCTATTCTCCTTAACTGTGTCCTTCTATTACATTGAACTATTTAAAAATTGCTGCTTTGTAGATGAAAAATTGAATGATAAATATATCATAATTCAATCTATAGATACACAGGTATTCTTCATTTTTTTTTTCACCTTTGGTTTTGTGTACAAGATGATATAAAAGTGATTCTTGTGTGGAATAATTAATCTAAGAAGGAGCAATGGTTTGACTTCAAATTCTCATCTAACATAAATGTCCTGGAGTAAGAGACTCATAGCCTTTGGGAGCTAGAAGAAACTTTGCAAATCACCCATTACAGTTTTCTAATTTTAAATAAGGGAAACCATGGGACAATATTTTCACTTTATGACATTTCAAATCTATAGAAGATTAGCATTTGAGATAGAAATTTCTCCTTTAGTTATTATCAGCATATTTAAAGTTGGGGTTAGAGTTGTGATTAAAATTCTGCTTTCCTGATCTCCAAAAGGAAAATTAAACCATGTAGCCACTTCAATTTGCAATTCTCACTTATCTTACAGCCCAAATCTAAGATCACTACAGTGACCTATCTATCTTGACTAGAAAATGTGAAATTATGGTTAAAGAATAAAAATTAATTGTAAAGGTAGATGAACTGTTTATTGCTGTCCTTTTGGTCTGCATTTTCTAAGATTCAGTTGTTCTGCCTACTTGCAAAAGGTTTTATTGACTTAGAAAGTAGTTATCCAGAATGTGTACGTGTGTGTATATACATGAATTCAGTATTTATGTATACACACACACAAAATACATGTATACACAATACAAAATACATACAAAATTTATGAATACATGCACAGGAAAATTAAACTTTGTCAACATCCAGATTTTTTCTTCAGAGCATTCTCTAAAACAATGTAACACAAAAAAATTCTGTTTTCCCAAAGTATTGTTCTTACGTGGAATGTCAATTGAAAAATAGACTACTTATCATTGAACACAAATTGGGTCTTGGGTGGGAGTTGAAATGAAGAATAAAAATCCTGCTTTAGTTTTAGCAACAAGCCTTAATTTTTATTCACCAAGTACATTCTGAAGCCGTTCAGATGTAATAATGATAAAGTGCTAATGATATAAAGGATTATTTAGATATTTCAGAAACTGTGAGTTGCTAGTGAGTTGTACTTAAAATAATTATTCATTCCTTGAAAGGATGAAACCAGGATCTGTCTTCACAGTCTTTCTTATGCATAGTTTATGAAGTGGAAAGAGCTGAGTAAGCTGACATGAAAGACATAGAACATATTACTTAGAAGCTAAGATGAAACATTTGGCTAGTTTTGTTAATTAAATTCAAAGGATTAACAGTAACTTAATTTAATGGAAAATATTTCAAGGTTTCGCTTACAGGTAATTAAGTTCAACATTAATGTGAACATATGAAGTGACTGATTTTTAAAGTTGTTTATCATGAAATTGCACTCTGCCAAATATTGTACTGCAGCTGCAATCTAGATGATGGCAAGATATCAAAACCAAAAATCTGTCTAAAAATTTTATTAAAAATATGAATCAGTTTCAATAAGTTTATCAAGGCATACATTTTGTTGGAGTGCCAGAAAGACCATAATGTGTATGTGAACATTTGTCTTTGCATTAATTTCATTAGCTTTAGCATCAAAGTGTAAAAATTATTTGTTTACCTGTGTTCCATAGAACCAGTCAACAGTTTCTTTGACTTTCAGGCCAATTGCTATTTAAGCATATGGCATTGCTAATGGGAAGGAACTAAATACTCTCTAGCTGTTGCTGTTATTGTTTCCAACCACAATGTTAAATCATACCACTAACAATGTATAGCAGTGAAGCACTGTAGTGCTCCAATAATTAAAAATTGAGACTTAAGTTTTGGCTTACCACTTTCTATAGGTAAACTAGCATAGTGCACATATATCTATTAGTGTTTCTATATCAACATACACCATTAGAAATAGATGTCTTGTGTCCTCTTAATTTTCATAGTATAGTTATCTTTTAAAAAATAAAGGACATGGTTAACACCCACTTATGAGTGAGAACATGCAGTGTTTGCTTTTCTGTTCTTGTGTCAGTTTGCTGAGAGTGATGGTTTCCAGATTCATCCATGTCCCTGCAAAGGACATGAACTAATCCTTTTTTATGGCTGGATAGTATTCCATGGTGTATATGTGCCACATTTTCCTTATCCAGTTTGTCATTGATGGGCATTTGGGTTGGTTCCAAGTCTTTGCTATTGTAAACAGTACTGCAATGAACATAAGTGTGCATGTGTCTTCATAACAGATTGATTTATAATCCTTTGGATATATACCCAGTGATGGGATTGCTGGGTCAAATGGTTTTTCTAATTCTAGATCATTGAGGAGTCACCACACTGTCTTTCACAATGCTTCAACTAATTTACACTCCCAACAGTGTAAAGGCATTCCTATTTCTCCACATCCTCTCCAGCATCTGTTGTCTCCAGGTTTTGTCATGATCACCATTCTAACTGGTGTGAGATGGTATCTCAATGTGGTTTTGATTTGCATTTCTCTAATGACCAGTGATGATGAGCATTTTTTTACATTTGTTGACTGCATAGATGTCTTCTTTTGAAAAGTATCTGTTCATATCTTTGGCCCATTTTTTGATGATTTCTTTTTTTTCTTGTATATTTGTTTTAGTTCTTTGTGGGTTCTGGATATCAGCCCTTTGTCAGATGGGTAGATTGCAAAAATTTTTCCCATTCTGTTGGTTGCTAGTTCACTCTAATGATTGTTTCTTTTGCTGTGCAGAAGCTCTTAAGTTTAATTAGATCCCATTTCTCTATTTTGGCTTTTGTTGCCATTGCCTTTGGTGTTTTAGTCATGAAGTCCTTGCCTATGCCTATGTCCTGAATTTTCTTCTAGGGTTTTTATGGTTAATTTTTGTACAAGATTTAAGGAAATGGGTCCAGTTTCGGCTTTCTGCACATGGCTAGCCAGTTTTCCCAACACCGTATATTAAACAGGGAATACTTTCCCCATTGCTGGTTTTTGTCTGGTTTGTGAAAGATCAGATAGTTGTAGATTTGTGGCTTTACTTCCAAGGCCTCTGTTCTGTTCCATTGGTCTGTATCTTTGTTTTGATACTGGTACCATGCTATTTTGATTACTGTAGCCTTGTAGCATAGTTTGAAGTCAGGTGGCGTGATGCCTCCTAAAATCATTTAGGTAGTAATAACTAATATGATGATATACAAGTTTGAGACTAAAAGGAGACATGATACCTGAGATAAAATATTTGAGATACCACTATGTGACCTATTCTGTGTTTTCCTTTTATAGAAAATAAAACAAGTGTTCAGAATAACATTTTAAAATGTTATCTTTTGTGTTTTTTCATTTCTGGTAATTTCCTTTTTTTTAGAGACAGGGTCTTGCTCTGTTGCCCAGGCTGGAATGCAGTGATGCCATCTCAGCTCACTGCAACCTCTGCCTCCCAGGTTCAAGTTATTCTCATGCCTCAGCCTCACAAGTAGCTGGGATTACAGGCATATGCCACCAAGCTCAGCTAATACAGGCTCTTTTTTGTTTCCATATGAAATTTAAAGTGTTTTTTTTTTTTTCTAATTTTGTGAGGAGTATCAATGGTAATTTGATGGGAATAGCATTGAGCCTATAAATTACTTTGGGCAGTAGGGCCATTTCCTTTTAATGCTATTTATTGACTTTTTTTTTTTTTTTTTTTTTTTTTTTTTTTAAAGAACATGCATTCACTCACTTGACAATAATTCATTGGATATCTATTATGTGCCATGATTCATGATAGGGATTCAAGATGAAAGTCAGCTACATTTTAATTTATTGAAATGTTAAATCTGCATAAGGATTTGGTGGAAAGATGTATTTGTATGTTTGATTGTAGTCAACTGTTTGCTCTAAACTTTCTTGAAAAATTCTCTTAGTTCACTATTTTAAACTCAGGAAAATTCAGTTTTAGTGCTAAATATTCACTGTTTGCCACATTTTAAAATTGCTTAGTATGTGTGCTTTTTAACATTGGTTAGTATGTATGCTGAACAGGATTTCCCTTGTTCAATAACTTTCCACAACTGAATTAGGGTGCTAGAAAGTTTCTTCCAGAGCTCCCCGAATCAGTTTTTAAGGACTGAAATCATTTATAAATCACCACTCCTCCATAACTATTCAAAATTACTTTCACAAAGCCACACATAGGTATCAAGAAAATGGATTCATTAGTACATAAAAAAAGAAGCTCTTAAAATAAATGCTCTCCTAGTTTTCAAATATCTTTTAAAAATATGCATATTTTGTTAAATAACTTTTTATTGTTTTCAATAAATAGTTGAATTTGCTCTATTCTCTGCTAAATAATTGTCTTCTTTTACATAGCTTTCAATATATAAGAATAAACACAAATACGTCTGCTACTATATGCGGGTACCTGCACACACAAATACACAAACACACCCAAGCACAAAGACTTCCTCCCCTTGTGGCTTACTCTGAATTACCAGTTTAATATTGTCTTCATAGGGTGCAGCCAAGGAGTGTCAAGCTGGAAGCTTGCCTCAATTACAGCACTTGATTAAAAGGCTGCAGAAAGTACCAAGGCTTTACTAGAGTATAAGTGGTGGTGCTTTCATTGCAGAACCAATTAAATAAATTGTTTTGAATTGTCCTTCAAAAGTCATAACTTCCATAAAAAATTAGGCAGGGAAATTATTTTATTTTAAAAGACTTAATTTGAAATAAAGTATAGCAAAGATTTGTTTGTACATTTCTCCAAGAGTTGGTTGCATTTTCAACTCCCTTTCCTTAAAAGTAGATGGCTTTAATGTAGGCATTTTCACAATTTTACATCAGGAAAAATGCAAGAAGTTTTCAGCAAATGTATGGAGCAGTCCTGATGCCTTGGTGTAGGGAGTTAGCTTCTAGAAGGAGGAAGCCCTGATGCATAGGTGATCATGCATAGGCAAACTTTAGCTTCTCTGGGAGCTCATAAAAACTCAGGAATGTTCATGATTCAGACTACATAAATTTCCAAGCCATTACATTTTGGTGGATTTAATTTACATTATATTCTTTGGTGGGGGAGGCGTGTGTGTATGAGATGGGGAGAGAGAGAGAGAGAGAGAAAATGAGAGAGGAAGAGTGAAAAAGATTTTTCTGTCTTCAAGATCATTCTACTGAAATTAAGCTATTTAACCTTTTCCTTTGCAAACCAACTCTTCTCCCTCTTTAAACGTTCAACTTCTTACTTAGACTTAGGGATTGAAGACCCTTTTCCTCTCAAAAATATAACTGCCAGTGATGAAAAGTTTGTAGTGGGAAATTCTTCCTGATGATTAAATCTTTCATTTAAAAAATTATTATTATTTTGTTGTTAGAAAGTACTACATAGTTGTAAAGCACCTGAGAAGGTGGCATAGGTATATTGATTAGCTTCTCTGTAAAGTAGATATAGTCTCCCCTTCATGTAGGTGAAGGATATTTTTCATGATGAAAAATATTTGTAATTCTTTTGGTCTCAGTTGAGGAGTGAACTATTCTCGCTTTTGCCTTAAACAGCTGAAAAGTGTCAGCTATTTCCTATAGGAGCATGCTCTCAGGGAATAATTAAGATTAGGTTATACATATAGTACAACGGTTTCACATTTCAATTTTAGGACTCATAGTAACTATAAGATATTGAGTAAATAAAAATTTTAAATACATATTATTTCTTTTGCCTAATACTGTTCTTTTTGTCTTATTATTCCATCACTTTTTTCCTTTGCCTATTTCCACACTTTGCTTACATAGTGAAACCCTCAGAGAAGACCCCTCTGATCCATTAGACCTGTGCAAGTTCCTTTACTATACATGCTCAAGTTGCCTGTTTTTCTCACTGCTAGCATTTACCACAGTTGTAATGAAATTGTTAACTTTGTAATTAGTTTAGTGTGTTTCTTCTGTTACACAACTACTGTACTATATAACATTCATGTAGTTATCTTGATAAAATATAGAACCTTTAATAATAAAGATTAAACAGTATTTGTTCAACCATATTTATGCAACAAGATATTAAATTAGGACATTTCTGGTTTCTTTATCAGCTGAAAAATAATGCTTTGGAATTCAGGACAGGCACACCTGCATACAGACATTGCAACAGGGATGCACTTGTTGCATTAGATCCCAGTTCGTTGCCTGATCCAGTCAATGTAGGCGGTCACTCGAGTATACACTCCTGGCTTATCTGGCAGGCCACACTCCTCTCCCCAGCTTACTATGCCCACAAGAAACCAAAGCCGTCGTGAGTCTTCTTGTACTAGCGGGCCACCAGAGTCACCCTGTAAAAAACAAAATGACTGATTACTTAAGTGCAAAGACAAACCCAAAATATTAAGGAGTTTCTATGGCAGTCAAGGAAGCAGTCACATCCATTATATGAATAAAGCCAGACTGTTTCCTTTTGAAATATTATACCAAGCGGTGAAAAAATTACTGAAATCCTCAAAGTACCCAAGTTATTCCTTCAGCAAGTCTGAGAAGATGGGAAGTACATTTCTCAGATTTCCCTCAGTCACTGCCTGGTTGCTTCCTACTCATCCAGGCTTTCTCTCCTTCAGGAGACCTCTGACCAACACTTTTTCTTCCCACTCTCACCCTTCCCAGCTTTGGGCTCAGTTGTTCTCCACTGCGTCCTTACATCTTGTGTGTGTCTCTGTCATTACTTCACTATTTTATAAAAGCACATTTGTATGCCTATTTACTTAGTCCCTCTTTGTTTTGATATAGCAGCTGCATGTCTCTGAAACACTCACTTGCATTTATATTTGTTCAATGTCTGTTTTCCAAGATATACTGTAAGGTTCAACAGGAAAGAGAATGTACCTATTCTGTACACTGTTGATACCTAAGCTTCTCATCCTTAGAAGATATTTGTTGAATGAATGAGTTTCTAGAAGTCTCATTTATCTTCCTATCCTTAGCACCTTGTGTGATGTCTGATGCATAGAATATCATCAAAAAGTCTTTTGGTGAAAAATTTTACATAGTCATAAGCAAAACACTCCTTATGAGATATTTACCACCCAGTCATAATAATGAACCAACCAACTAATAAATATCTGTGCACATAATCACATAATAATCTAGTTGGGGAGACAGATTGAGTATATCTTACATTCTGCACAATGAATTAAGTCTGTGGGTTCTAGAACTAGATAGTCTGGGTTTAAGTACTTCACTTACCAGCTATGTGACCTTTGGTAAGTTAGTGAATAGTTCTCTTTACCTCAGTTTCCTCATTTGTAAATAATGTTTGTATGAGTTTAAAACTCAAAGCACTTTGAATACAGCTTAGCATATAGTATAGTCAGTACTAAAAAAAAGTCAGCTATTATTACCAAGTGTGCTTCTAAATTAGTTCGCTATTTATTTGGCTGCTCTAAGTAGTTAGCTCGTCCATACCTATTTAATTACTAGTCTAGATGGGGAGAAGGGTCAGTGTGTGAAGCATCAATATGCATGGCAAGTACTTAATGAAGCTGGTTGTCACCTGCTTTTTAGGATGACATATATTTCCTTCAGATAACCAGTTCTCAGTACTTTCTATTGTTTTTGTAGTTAATTTTTCTATAGTGAGAAATTATTTTGCATGGATTCTGAGCAAATGTGGGCAAGCAAATGTTAAACGAAAAGGGACTTGTAATTTTTCCATATCTAGCCAGCTTCACTGCCTGACTGCAGACATTTGAATTTGTGTCCTCTCTTCTAGACCATAAATTTGTTGAGTCCAGGGATAGTATTGTGCTAACACCTTGTCTAGTGCATAGAAATTAATTAACATAATTCCTTTGTATTAATGAATGCACAAATGAACAAAAGAATGGATTGAAACAAATAGAATCTTGTAAGCTTTTATGTAAAGTGCTGTTTTTTAAATTTTCTTGAGGTTTAAACTATGCATTATAATATTTCAGTTAAAAATCAGTGATATCCAATGAGAACACATAGACACATGGAAGGGAGCATCACATACTGGGCTCGGTTAGGGGAGACTAGGGGAGGGATGGTAGGCGGTGGGGAGGGTGGGGAGGGATAACGTGGGAAGAAACACCAGATACAGGTGATGGGGGTATGGAGGCAGCAAACCATCTTGCCATGTATACCTGTGCAACAATCCTGCATGATCTATACATGTAACCCAGAACCTAAAGTACAATTAAAAAAAAATCAGTGATTCCTAGAGTGGAATACACATGGATGGTATAATGATGAATTATGGCTTGAATTGGGCTTGAAGGAAGAAAATAATTTGTATGCACAGAAGGACAGAAGGTAAGGGGCATTATAAATGGGAAAATAATGAATAACACCCTTTTAAATCTCATGTTTATTTTAAAGTCTTAATTAATGCTCTTACTAGATCTGGAATTGTCAGTGTGGAAGTGTGTTGCTTATTTGATTGACAGAATCTTTGGAAAGCTATCATCAAACTTGAGAATTTGTTGTTTTAGGGCTAGCAGTAAAAGAGAAACAGGAAAGAGAGCAAGAAGGCTTTCCTACCACAGAGACATCTCCACCAAAAGGAGATAAAAGACTGGGTAATTACAGTATTTTGACAATTGAAAAACAAATCTCCACCTATACACAACTTGCAGTTGATAAAAATGTTTCATTTCGGGAAAAGTGCTCATGGATTGGGAGCTTTGCATAAATTGTGAGAACTACTTTTTATCTACTTTGTAAAGACCATGAACACTAAATATAAAAGTTAGCGACCTTTTTTTTTTTTTGTATTTTTTAAATTGCATTTTAGGTTTTGGAGTACATGTGAAGAACATGCAAGATTGTTGCATAGGTACACACATGGCAGTGTGATGTGCTGCCTTCTTTCCCATCACCTATATCTGGCATTTCTCCCCATGCTATCTCTCCCCAGTTCCCCTATTTCCCCCCAATAGACCCCAGTGTGTGATGCTCCCCTCCCTGTGTCCAGGTGTTCTCATTGTTCAACACCCACCTATGAGTGAGAACATGTGGTGTTTGATTTTCTGTTCTTGTGTCAGTTTGCTGAGAATGATGGCCTTTTGATATAAAGAATAATTCTTATCTTTCTTTATACAAATCACCCACAAAAATAGTAACAAATTACTCAAGAAAACAGAATGATTTTTTAGAACTCCAGGCTAAAATAATATCTGATTTCTGGCACTCGCTGTTCCTGTTACTACGTGCGGTTGGATTTCCTTAACCTCCATTACCAAATCTCTTTATCTAAAAGCTGGGGATAATCATAATGGCACCTAACTTTTTAGGTTCTAAGAAAAACCTATTAAAGATATAACCACATCAATTATGTTTAGATAGTTTAATTTAAAATTTCAGAATTAAAATTTTATTCTAATTACTTTAAAGTGAGAATTTTATATTTGTTGTTTGTTTTTGTATGTGTTGGTTAAAAATTATGTGCTAGATCCAAATATAATAGTTATTTTTTTCTTTTTCATTTGTACTGTTTCATTATTGTAGGAGCTTTTGTCACTTAAATTACCAGGCTTTTTGTATAAATTTTATATCTTCAAGGTGCTCCAAGAATTTATTATTTATCTCTTAAAATTCAATCATTATATATTGATTAATTTTTATAATATAGTGATTAACTTTTTATTTAATCCTTCATAGCAGTTAAAAGGTTGAGGTTAAAGTTGTTGGCACCAGTGACCATGGTCTACATCAGGTGTCCCCAAACTACGGGCCCGAGGGCCCCTGAGGCCACTTATCCGGCCCCCCGCCGCACTTCAGGAAGGGGCACCTCTTTCATTGGTGGTCAGTTAGATGAGCACAGTATGTGGCAGCCCTCCAACGGTCTTAGGGACAGTGAACTGGCCCCTGTGTAAAAAGTTTGGGGACGCCTGGCTACATTAACAATAGTAAGATAGATGCGATTTCTTTGTTGCTTAATAGGTGCATGATATAGTCTTCATTTAATTTTTCTTAGTACCTAAATAGTTAGGTGCTATTATGATTATCCTCAGATTTTAGATAAAGAGACTTGGTAATGGAGATTAAGGAATTCAGATAGAAGGCTTTCTAATTCTTACACTTTGAATGGTTAACTACTCTGTAATTTGGCCTCTCAGAGTTAATGTTTTCTTCATAGACAAACTTCATAAAATTTTTTATTTCTAAAATCTAGGTTGTAAATTTTAGAGTTGTGTATTTTATCTTTATGTCTATCACATTATCTTATACACATCTTCAATGATGACATGGACGAGATTGTCTTGAGCTTACCTGGCATGCATCCACTCCACCTTGAGGGAATCCAGCACACAGCATTCCAGGTAAGATGGCTCCATTATAACTATATGGTGCATTGCATACATCATTACTTATTATTCTGACCTGTCCTTGCCTTAGTTCTGTAACTGTGGGGCCTGTTTGGTATAAAAGTGTGAAAAAAAGGAACTTCAAGTTATATACGTTATTGACCCTATGATACATTTGAGAAGAAATAAATGTACTCCAAACATTATTTTATATTCAGCAATGAAGGCTCTTAAAGATTTACTTTGGAATTTATTCCCAGTAAAAACTCCCCAAGTAGATGAGGATAACCCCTTTCACTGATCAGTGTTTTTTTTCTTTTTTTCTTTAGCTTTGTGACACGGTGCCCCTTAAACCTTTAGAGAAAACAAATTTGCTGTCTTAAAATTGACTAAAACCATTTAAATCATTCACTGACAGATTTTGGATTGGAAGATTACATATTGAATAACCTTTTAACCTAGCAGCAAAAGAGAAACCAGTCTAGATTCAAGGCTAAATAGTCTAATTTATATTGATATACTCTCAGAATGGCACCACTAGTTTTTCACAACTGGCACAAATTTTATCTGTTACACCAAATTACTTCGGGCCACAAGAATACAACAGAACATTTTCTAGGACAATTAAGGCTTTGTATGATTGATTCCTTGGAGAGACTATCTACAACATGGGTAAAAGCTCAGGGAAATTGTCTATGCTACCCTTTCACTCCTTCACTGATACTCTTACTTTCCCTTGGGTTCTAATAGCTCTTGAGCATTGTCCTAATTTTAGTTTCCATTTTATTGATTAAATAAACAAATATAAGCAGTGCTTATGTGCACATAGAGCCTTTGCTATAGAGGCAGGATTTATTTTATCGCAGAATACTTTCAAGGGCAGTTAATACCTTGAGGGTTATTAAAGCCTCATAGAATGTCTAATATAAATCCTCCCATTGCTTTGGGAGGCCAAGGCAGGAGGATGGCTTGAGGGCAGGAATTCAAGACCAACCCTGGCAACATAGCAAGAACCTGTCTATAGAAAAAACGAACAAACAAACAAACAAACTGGGTATGGTAGTGCACACTTATTTATAGTCCTAGCTACTTGGGAGGCTGAGGCAAGAGGATTACTTAAGGCCAGGAGTTTGAGGCTGCAGTGAGCCATTGCACTCCAGTCTGAGCAACAGTCTTTGCCTCTAAAAAGCAAACAAACAAAATCTCTTTTTTTGTTGTTTATAGGGAAGCCATTTGAATCTTACAGAATCACTCGATTATTAAATAACTCATTTTTTTCATTACTTTCTTTTACATTTTCCTATATTTGAGAACTCCCCATAGTTCCTGGGGCATTGCTTTGCTTTGCTAAGGAAACTCAGGGGTAGCCAGAGTTTGGGCTGAGCAGAATATGGAATGGTTCTGTCTGTAGAACAGAAACTCCTATTCCAGGTGTTTCGTAATTTAAAAAATTACATAATAGCAAATAATAAGACATTTCTATTGTTAATTTTTTTTCTAAGACACTTACCGGAATATTCTTGAGCTCCCCATCCTGTTACATAAGCAGTAGAGCCAGGTGGACTATTCTGGGTAGTGGCTGGGAGACACACACTATGGATATCTTTGGTAAAGGGGACTCTTTCCTCAAGTCTCACAAGTGCAATGTCATTTTCATGAGTTGCAGATTTATAATTGCCATGGATTGAAATACTTCTTACTCTCATTTTCAGTTTAGGATATCTTGTGGAAATACCAAAGGTGGCAATCCATTGACGAGGATTAGAGTTGCTAAAACAGCATGAAAACATGCTATGTAAGTAGAAAGTCTGTGAACATTTCAGACACATAAATTTGTCTTAGCCATCCCGTACCACTATCTAGAAACTATTGGGTCTGCATCTCTTTGCTGTATGTTTCTGCATTATAAGCTAGCACGTGAGTTTTTCATGTCAGAACAAATGGTCACTTGTCTAAAGAAATGGAGACTATTTTAGAAAACATATATTGGGGTGATATTGGTCTTTTTCTATTCCAATGAAGTTATTCTGATACTTTCATGATAAGTAGCATAACACAAGTATTTTTTATTTCCCTTTTGTCTATACCCCCCTTCCTATTTAAGAAACTAAGAAACCTGAAATAATAAACATTTTAGATTTAACTGATTTCTTTCAATTCCTATCTTTTCTTTAGCCAGGAGCTCCATTTAAGTAGTAGTGATGATAAGGGGCATTCTTATCTTATTAATGGATGAATAATTTTCTAATTCTAATAATGGCTGAAGATTTTGTTGTGTGTGTGTGTGTGTGTGTGTGTGTGTGTGTGTGTGTGTGTGTCTGTGGGTACATATATATACATATGCATGTATGGGGTCTTCAAAAGATCATGGAAATGTATATTATAAACAAATTACATGGATTTCAAAATTTTTGCATGTAAATAAACTCATACTAACTTGTTATAACAGTGAGCAGTATCTAGTTTGAGGCACTAAGAGAAATAAGACATAAATTTGAAAAGAGCCCTTATCAAAGCAACATGAATGCTGCTAAAATTGAAGCAAAAAAATCAAATTTTTGGTGAAATTGGAAGAATGATGAAATTATTTATGTTTTACAGAAAGTTTATGGGGACAGTGTCCCCCTCCCCACAAAATCAACAGTTTATGAATGGATAATTCATTTTTAGAAACAAAGAGATGTTGAGGGTGAAGTCTGCAGCAACAGATCATCCACATCAATTTGCTAGAAAAAAATTGCATCTTGTTCATGTCTTAATTAAAGAGGACCAAAATTAGCATTGAGAAACAATATACAACACCATAGACATCTCAACTGGTTCAGCTTACACAATTACGACTGAAAAATTAAACTTGAGCAAACTTTCTACTTGATGGGTGCCAAAACTGTTGCACCCAGATCAGCTGCACACAAGGTCAGAACTTCCAATGGAAATTTTAAACATGTGGGACCAAGATTCTAAATTATTTTTTTGAAGAATTATAACAGAAGATGAAATATGACTTTACCAATACAATCTTGAAGGCAAAGCACCATCCAAGCAATGTCTACGAAGAGGTAGAAGTGGTTCAGTCAAAGCAAAACCAGACTAGTCAAGAACAAAAGCCATGACAACAGTGTTCTGGGATGCTGAAGGCATTTTGCTTGTTGACTTTCTAGAGCGTCAATGAACAATAACATCTTCTTCTTGTGAGAATGTTTGAGAAAGTTAGCCAAAGCTTAGCAGAAAAAATGTCCAGAAAAGCTCTACCAGAGTTCTTTTTCACCACAACCATGCTCATGCTCATTCCTCTCATCAAATAAGGTTAGTTTTATGAGAAGTTCCATAAGAGATCATTAGGCATCCACCTTTCAGACCTGATTTGACTCCTTCTGACTTATTTTTGTTTCCTAATCCTAAAAAAAATATTTAAAGGGCACCCATTTTTCTTTAGTTAAAAATGTAAAAAAGGCTGCATTAACATAAATCTCAGGACCCTCAGTTCTTTAGAGATGTACTATATGGGTGGCATTATTGCTTACAAAAGTGTCTTGAACTTGATGGAGCTTAGGTTGAGAAATAAAGTTTATATTTTAAATTTTATCTTTTAATTTTATTTTCCATAAACTTATTGAATTCCCCTCATATATGTGTATATGCATGTGTGTACAAGTATATATATGTCTATATACATAGGAGAAGAGAGAGAGAACAGTAGTGTTAAAAAATAGGGGATGCCTGTAATCCCAACATTTTGGGAAACTGAGGCAGGTAAATCATGAGGTCAAGAGATTGAGACCATCCTGGCCAACATGGTGAAATCCTATCTTTACTAAAAATACAACAATTAGCTGAACCTGATGTGTGTGACTGTAGTTCCAGCTACCAGGGAGGCTGAGCAGGAGGATCGCTTAACCTGTGAGATGGAGGTTACAGTGAACTGAGATTGCACCACAGCACTCCAGCCTGGTGACAGAGCAAGACTCCATCTCAAAAATAAATAAATAAATAAATACAATTTAAAAATAGGACATTACTTTTGCGACCTAAAAAGTGGGACTTTTGGCTAAACAACAAAAACACAAACTAAAAGATAAAAAATGAATGAATTTTATTAAATCAAAATTAGATATACTATAGACAAATTTACCAGATGGATAAGAAACCATGGGAAAATATGGAAACATTTAATATCTGAAATTTTTATAGAATATATTTTAAAAGTCTGTAAACCAGAAATAAATAAGCAGAAAAACCATTATAAAATGGACAAAAAAATATTAATGGCAGTTCAAAACAGCTCTTACATTTATGAAAACATACTCAAACTAATAATCTGAGAAATTAAAATTATAAAAATGATCATCTGATGTACATTTAAAAGACTGGTAAAAGAATAATACTAAATGCTGATGTGGAGGGAAATTGGACCTATTTTCCATTACTGGTAAAGATTTAAGTGTCTGGAAAGCACTCTGGTATATTTAGCAGTTTGCACGTGTGCTTCAGAAGTTTCTGAAGGTTTACAAAAAGATAAGTGTGTGCTCTTTGTGGCAATGGGAAGTTAGGTCATCCAACCTAATTGGATGAAAGATATATGGTGGCTGCATACCATGGGGTGCTGAGCAGCAATGCATCAGATGAAAATTCCCAGGATTGAGTGAAAACAGCAAGAAACAATATTAGACTTTTACACAATGCTATGTATTTAAATTTAAGACATATAAATGCAAAAAACCAACACTATAGGTTTTGCAGGTATGTGCATATTAAAAGACATGCATATTTCAAATATATTAGTATGAGGCATGTGGGCAGAAGGAGGGCAGTGAAAGTGAAATCGAGGGATGACAGGAGAAAAAATAAATAAAATGAGAGAAATGCCTTCTACAAACTGATGAAAATAAGTATCTGTGAACTGGAGGCCTGATTAACTTAACATTTCTCCTAAGGGTTGAGTAAAAACAAAATGTAACCAAATAATACCAATTTAGGAGTTTTATGGAGTTTGGATAGTGAAGTTAATACAGAAAATAAAAATTGTATGTCTGAAAATACTTTTATAAGTAGTTTGTGTAAGAGTGAATCTGAGTTAAAAATGTTGAAGAAAAAATACCGAAAAACAGGTTGGGTGTGGTGGCTCATGCCTGTATCCCAACAGCTGGAGGCTGAGACAGCTGGATCATGAGGTGGGTGGATCACGAGATCAGGAGTTTGAGACCAGTCTGACCAATATGGTGAAACCCTGTCTTCCTAAAAATTCAAAAATTAGCTTGGTGTGGTGGCACGCGCCTGTAGTCCCAGTGGCTTCAGAGGCTGAGGCAAGAGAATTGCTTGAACCTGGGAGGTAGAGATTGCCGTGAGCTGAGATCACACTACTGCACTCCAGCCTGGGCAACAGAGTGAGACTCTGTCTCAAACAAACAAACAAATAAGAAAAAAAAAAATACCATGATTGTTTTTATATTCAACTTCTTTTGCTTGGCATATTTACAGTGAAGATTATGAAGAGACTCTTCTTCTTTCCTTCCTTTTCTCTCTTCCTTCCCTTTCTTCCTCCCCACTTGTTTTTCTTCCTTTCCTTTTTTCCAGCAAGTGAATTAGAGCATGGTTTTGAAGCCAGTCACCTTTATATTTAAATATTGGCCATGACACATATTAACAGTGTTATTTATGACAAGTTAATTAATAGCTATGGGGTTTATTTACATATAAAATGTGCTTGATGATACCTTCTCACACAATTGCTACATATTATTGAGACAAATATATTATGTCAAATACAGTGTTTGGCACGAAGTGAACTTTCAATGAAGGTAGCTATTGTTTTCATTAATTATACTTCAACAAGCCATTGCTAAGTGTCTACTTTGCATGAGGACAAGTATACGTCTCCAGGAATAAAAACATAAACATTTATGGTCTGTATCCTTGAGGAACTCTACACTAGTGGAGGAAACTGACAAGAGGTAAGTCAAATACCACAAATCAAAAGAACAACTGTTAAAGGCAGATAAACAAATTTCTGTGGAACTCCATGGAGAGGAAAGAGAGTATCAGGGAAAGCTACATAAAAGAGGTGATAATTCAATAATCCTCTTTTATAAGACCTCGTTAATCCTATATACTTTGATGTAAGGCTTGTTTTATCCCAAACAAATCTTCACTGATGGTTCTCAGTGACAATCAGGTCTTTAGGGAGGGCTCCAATACATAGTTCACGGAGTTTGTTAGCCCTAGTGGATCAATCATGGTGGTGAATAGAAGGATGTGGGGTAGTAAAATTCAAGGTTACATGGATTTCTTTGGTACTCACTGGTGATATTTATAACTATGGCTTTCATTATAGTGATATCCTTTACTTAGTTTTTGGTGGTTGGACCATAATATGGCTTAGAATTCAGTAAGGTTTCTACTCCAATCTTGGTGATGCTAAGTGCCTGATAAGTCCAAGTATTTGAATTCCTTGTTCCCACACTCGAGAGTATAATTGAAATCAATGTGTGTCATTTCTGCTTTTGGCCTTTCAAGTGGCAATGAAGATTAAAATGTTTTTGTGAATTTTGTGTCTTTGGTTATTTGGGATATAGTAATAAACTTGCCAGTCTACATCAGAAAACTAATTCTGGAAGTGTCTTTTAAAATTTGTTCACTGCATATAAAAATATTAAGTTATAAGATAACCGTAAGAAAAATTTAAAATAATTTGAGATTTCCTAAACCTTTAGTTCAGAAACTACCCTAGTCTTTTAAATCTTTATTCCTTCTTAATTTAACAAATACTTTTATAACAGGCACTATACCATGAAGTAGTGCCAATAAATCTAAAAAAGACTACTTAGAAATTGTCAAAAATTAATAAAATTTAAATAGAGATTTGGGAAATATAGGAACATTTCAAGGATTAGCAGATTGAGCTGATGCTCATAGGTAGGGCAATAAATTTAAGAAGAGTCCAGGAGAAGACAATAATGCTGTTTATCTGAAGCTCAAGGTACATGCTTTGAGAAATAAGACTGGATTGATCTGGCTGTGGAAGGTTGTGTGTGTGTGATAAGGAGGTATGATTTAGAGTAAGAGTCTGAGAAGAAAATTTATATGGTCATGGGCACACAAGTTCAAATCTTCATCATATTTCTGGGTGAACTTTTTGAGTTAAGTTCCCAACAACTGCTGTAGTAACAATGTAGGTTTGAAACAAACAGATTTAGTTATGGTGAGCTCTAAAATCCTTCTTTAATAAGTTATGTGAACTTTCCTTTTTACCAATAGGGTAAGTTGATGTAACCTACTCTCCACTGGCAGCATATCACACTAGTGTTGGCATTAGTTTAGTCACCTCAATTAATAATTATTTTAAGTTGCCTAAATTAATTTTATTTTTGCTACTCATTGTAATTGATCATTATTTTTGTGTATTCTAATTCCAAAATTAGAGTGTAAGGTCTTTGAAGGTAGAGGCAATAGTTTGTTTATATTGGTAGCTTCTACAATATATAACACTGTGCTCATACAGATGCCCAATAATCTTTAAGAATGAATAAATTAATGGGACAGTCAGTCTCTAGGTTAGCCATGAGCTTCCATGATATAATATGCAAATCTTCCACAACATTAAACTAACATTTAACATATGTTTACATTAGTGTACTCAATGCTACCAATACCACTAAGACACAAATAATAGTATTGTCCCTTAATTTGGAAAAAATAAGGCTTATGGAGGTTTAATAAATTACTTAAGCTTTTATAGCTATGATTTAAAAAAATTCTGACATATAAATCTTTGTTCTTTACTGTGATAATACACTATTACCTGAAACAGAGAAATAGCACTAAATTATCATGCAAAACGGGAAAAAACACTTTTCCTCTCATGAATAGGAAGAACATTCTTATTGATTTTTTTTTTTTGCATTGAATTATATCTGGCTTAATTCAATCCTAGGATAGTGGGTGGAAGTTTCATGACCTGTCTATTCTAATTGTTCCCAGAAGGGTAGGTAGCTGCGGCCTCACCTTCTGAAGCAGTGAGCTGCTGTCAGGATCCACATGTTACTGATCAGGCTGCCTCCACAGTGATGGGCATTATTGAGCCGTAGACTGACTTGCCACGGCCAGCCTCCCTCCTCCGCCTCAGTGCCTCCAAAGATTCTCTGCTCAGACAATGTTACTAGGTCTGGACCGGCCCCACATTCTAATGAGAAAAGGGCATTAATGTGCTAGGAAGATCATGATTCCTTTACATTTGGAATAAGCTGTGGAGTTTTTCCATAATTTATGACTTTTATGCCTTACACATTCTTCCTCAGGACACACTGGACTTTCCAAAAAAGTATGATCAACATATTTTCACACTTCACATGTGACTACTATTGCCTATAGATGGCATTTTAGAGAATATTTCTGAATTTAGTTGGCATATGTGCTTCAAATTTTGAACAGCTTCAGAGTTCTCGGCAATTCCCCATGAGTTGAAGTTAAGATAGGTCAATATTGGATGTGCCAGCTCAGGCCACAGACTCCTGGTATATTTCCTTTTTCTCAATAGTCTTGCCATGCACAATGTGGTCTGTGGGCCTGCAGCATGGACATCCCCTGGAAACTTACTAGAAGTGCAGATTCTCAGACCCACACCATGGGACAAATCTAAAGCTGCATTTTCATGTGAGGTTCATGCACACATTGAAGTTGGAGGTAAATGGGTCTCATCCAAAAGATTCCTTAGTGGTACTGCAGTTCATCTTGTAGAATCCAGTCCACCTCCAAGATTGATGCTGTATTACCAAATGTGCCCTCAAAAAGGAGTTGCTATAGGGCCACAGAGTATTCTTGAGGGTAACAGAAGGTTTCTAGTATCTAGATAAAGTTTATTTAAATGTCTTCAGAGAGTCCATGAGCACTCTACTGGCCAGAGCTGAAATGGGCTGAGTAGGCTGATTACCTAATTCCTTCCAACTCCCATTCCCATGGTTTTCTTATCTTGTGTGATCTATTACTAAGAAATTAAAGATAAATCACACATCTATTGCTGGGCTAGCTTTTAAGTAGTGCCCTGCTTTGATAGCACAACCACACAAAGGCTTTTTTTTTCCCCCCTAGCAAATTTTCTGGATAAAGGAGGAATAGGTTTCCATTAAGACATACTTACGTTCTTTTGTGGGATCTCACAAACAAATACCCTAGTAAATTACTAATCATCACATTCTCATAAACGATAAGCATGAATTAAATATGTAGTGAAACTGAAAACACCCATAAGACTAGCATCACTTTGTAAAATCACTTAAGTGCCTGAGATAAGCCAGCTACTAGGTATATTGGACTAATTTTTAACTACATTCTTTTGGCCAGAGAAGATGCTGTTTTTTAGGGATTGCATTTCTGCTATCTTAGCACAAGAATACATAGGATGATGTTGAAAAGTAGTGACTTTTCCTTCAGGTTATAGACCCAAAGCTGAGAAGACTTTTGATAATTCTTTTTGTTATACTTAGTGATTAACCTGAATCCACAACAAAGCAAGCTACTCTGGTGGTTAGGAGAAGCTACATAAACGGCGTCATCAAGCATAATTTGTAAGTCTACAGAAATGCTACCTCAGAAACAGGGCAGTAAAAGCTTCTCAAAGCTTCAAAGGAAATTTTCATGAGGCCATTACTGAGTACAGAGTGGGTAACACTCAGCTGCAACTTCTTCCTTTTTCAAAAAGGAAAGGGGAAACCTAAAATCCACTCCATGGACTACTTGGGATCAGCACTGTCTTGTTTCAATAAAAATCCACCTGAGTCAACTAAGAACAGAAATATCAGCTTGATAGGTGCTGCCTTGGCCAAAAGTACACAAAAGACTTGTGCTTTTACTCTTTATGTTTTGGCAAGCTATAATTAAAAAATAATTTAAAAACTTACCTCTAATAACTAGATCTGCTGTAGCCTCACCAGTAATTGCTAATATTAAAAAAAAGAATGAGAATAAGATAAATACAATAAAGACTGTATATCATTCCACCATGATTTCTTAAAGTTCAGTACTCAGACAATAAGAAGTAGAATTACTTAGGGGTTGGGGGGAGATTCTCTAAAATGCAGATTCCTAGGCTGCATTTCAGATCGGCTGAAACAATCTCTAATTCATCGGCCCTACAAATCTCTTTGTTTACAACCTTTTCCAATTTGTTGCTATGCATATTAAAGTTTGCACTTTAATTTCTCATTAAATACTTAGTAGATACCTCTTCTTTCAAGTTATTTAATTTAGATGAGAAAACAGAAACATATGCAAGTCATTGAGATGCAATGTGATAAATGCTATAAGGGAAGTTAATTTATCATGTACTCAAATATATGTATATTACTCTAATGAGACCATTCTATAATAAGAGCTGCAGATTGAACTGTGAGCAAAATGTAAAGGACCTGCCCTCACATAATTTACAGATAGAAATTAATCAAGCAATCATTCAAATAAATGTAAGTGCCAAGTAGAGAAGAAAAAAGGGAGTAAGTAATGTAAATTATATGGAGGAGATAACATTTGAGCTAGAGGAAATAGCATTTGCACTGTATTTTGAAGGTCTGAAAGGAATTTTTCAGGCACACAAGAGGAGAAAAGAGATTCCAGATGGAAGATATAGCAGGCACAAATGCTTGGAGGTGTGAGACGTTTGTGGAGCAATAAAGTAAGGAGAGCTAGTGCGTGTGTTGTGTTTAGGGAAACGGAGGGTGAACCTGGAAAGGAAAATATGTCAGTATCAGACAGTAAGGGTCTGTCTATTTCAATTTAAGATCTGCATACAAGACAGTTTTCTCTGCATGTCCAACAGCCATCTCAAACTCAATGCGACCTGATTTTATCCAAAATTTACTACTTTTACTTCCTTTTAGTAAAATGACAGCACTTCCATCTAGAAATCTGAAATTGTCTCAAACTCCGCCTTTTTCATCATTTCCACATCTTATGAACTCCAGTATCTGTACCTCTATCTTTTGAATTAGCCTCATCCTCCTCATTCCTTTTGCTACTACTTTAGTTCATGCTTTCATCATTTGACGTCAGTACAGTTACAATAACTTTCTAACTGAATTGCTTGCCACCACTTTTGCTCCTTTTCAGTTTATCCACCTCTATCTTACCAGACTTATTTTTAAAAAATATTATATTAAATCATATCCTTCCTTGATTGAAATTTTTAATTGAGAAATTAGTCTTTTTTTTTTAATTTCCTGCAAGATAAATTAAAACTTCTCAAGACAGGTTTTCATGGTCTCTCAAAACAATTTATGCAAAGTTATTTCCCACTAAAAGTTTCACCTGATTTGGGTATCACATTTCTTTTGCAAGCATCAGTAGAAACAAATCATACTTTTGGAGACAGAAAATTTTAAAAGGCTAGCCATTCTTAATTTTTTGAAGACAGACTGAAAGTTTGTATCCTAACTGCCCCACATACTGATTGTGTCAGCCTGGGCAATTTATCTTTTCTAAGAGGGGCAATAAAACTATCTATGGGATATGGTTGTAAGGATTAATCAAGAAAAAAATTCAATAAGGCATTAAAGCCATGCCTAAAAAATAGTAAGTGCTCCTTAAATAAGTGTTTTGATGATGATTATGTGAATGATGAACACTAATCAATCATTCTAGCAGGTCCCTTTCTTCATTGTTCTGTCAAAGCATCCAGTACAGACTTATTTTCCTTTTTTCATGCTTTCCATTTCTGGCAAATTTCTCTCATCTTAAAGTATGGAAATCCTAACCATATTTTAAAGTCCATTCTCCTTCAGGAAGATTTTGCTAGATATCCCAAGCAAGCTGGTCTCTTTCTTTCCTGGATTCCTGCAGCCATCACTGCCTGGGCTTCACACTTGGCATATTCTATCTTGATTTCAACACTCTTGTGTTGGAATATCTTTCCCTTCAACTAGATTATGAGCTCTAGAGGTGGAAACTGCTATGATGTTACCATTGTATCACCACATTGTCTAGTATAATGCTAAACAATTAAACACTTGGGAAGGGCTTTTGGGAGAATTCCTTAATGTGTGGAAGCAGAGGTAATATTCAACTACCTAACAAACTGCAGTGTGTGAGCATTGGCTAGTCATAAAAGATGCAATCAGGTCATGGAGTTGGAGCAGTGTCTTAGAGTTCCTTGCTTTGCTAAGCATAGCTCTTTAGCTGCAGGGGATGGGGTGGCTGAATTTGAAGCATCTTGGAAGACAACTTTGTGAGCGTAATGGAGTAATTATTTACCAACCAATAACAAAGCATTTCAATATTTAATAGTTACTGCATCTGTAACTGCTACCTACCAGTCTAGTGTGGGAATCATCAAAATCCTTTTAATACTGAGCTCATTGTGAACAAATCATGGCTTATTAAACTAGTAGAACATGACAAACCTGGAGAAATGTCCTTAAATTCTATTCATATATTTTTTCTTTCAGTCATACAAGAATTATTTATTGAATATGTGTTATATGATGGAGATTGGGTGGCAGGAGGGTAGTAGGATGAAGAAAGTAGACTGATTCTTGCTTTTAGGAAGATTACAGTGTAGGATGAAGCCAAACAATACAAAAATTACACAAATAACTTTGTAATTTCAATTGTGATAAATGTTACAAAGAAAAGTAAAGAAGCCTCTGAGAGGGATCATTAATTAAATTTTTCCCTGTCTTTGAGCATCTATGTACCATTCCTATGGCATATCCACAAGTGACATCTGACAGTACCATCACTCATAAGGAGTGTTGGAGGGAAAATTAATGAAAATTTTTAGCAAATAAAATTTACTACATAAATTACAAATGATTCCTTAAATCTTAGAATGTTTTACATTAGAGAGTTATATGTTATATTTAGCTTTTTAGTGGATTGCTTTCATAGCTTTTCGAAGAAAAGTCAGCCTCTCAATTAAAATGTGAATTTGAATTGGTAAACTTGAGGGATCTATTGAAATAAAATTGTTTATGAAAAATTATACTTACCTGTTATATCAGTTGAAGGGTTTATTTCCAGGTTTCCAGAGTTATTCAGTATTTGTCGTAAAACAGACTGAATTCTGCTTTTCAGTGATGCTTCATTGTTATTTCTAGTGAATCGAAATTTCATGACAACATCTGCTTTCACACCACTACCATCTTGCCTGTAAATCATAAAGATATTTTAAAAAATGAATAACATGATAATTTTCACCATCCTATCTATATACTCTTCTTGATTAAACCTTTTTAAAGATTTTATTTGCAGAATTTAACTTTAGACAGATCTCTGTAATAGTGTTTCATACATGATATTGTATCATGATGCTATCTCACAAATTTGATTGCAATGCACAGAACACTGTACTTACTATAGTACAACTGATTTTGAAGTTATAATGCCAGAGTTTTGCAGTGTAACTTTGGATAAGTTACGTAAGTTTCTTAATGTTTCTGTATCTAAGTCTTCTCACATGTAAAATGTGTTGTTATAAAGACTAGACGAATTACTATATACAAAACTTCAAAGAAGAGTGATTACAATATAGTAAGTGTGCTATAATATTAGCTATTCTTAGACTTCACCAATGTTATTAAAAATAATCTCCTTAAACAAATTCATAAAGTGATGAGGTTCTAAATTGTATGTGAGTTAGAGATTCAACTTAATTTCTTGGTACCTAGACTATTCATCTGGCTACAATAGCAAGTTTTAGCTTTTGTCATGTATTAAGATTTCATCACTCATTTTAATTAATCATAAATATTTGTCACAATAAACCCTGATGACTTGATTAAATATTCCGATTATCTAAAACCTCAGCAACTTCCATTTTGTTCCATGAAAATTACCTCACAAACTACTTCCTCCAGCTGACATTGGCTGCCTTCTTCTTTGTAAAAGTACGTTAAACATATTTGGTTTTGAGGCTCTCCTATTCCCTCTTGGCTTTTGCTGTCACCTCAATGACCAGCTCTAACTTAATGTTTATTCCAGAAACGAATTTAACATTTATTTTAAAAAATTTTCGATAAGCTCCTTCTTGTGCTAGGCACTATTATAAGCTTCAGAAATTAGCTGTGACTAAGATTCACAGTTGCCATACAGGTCTTGCAGTTTAGATGCAGAAACAGGCACTGAACAAATAATTACAACTTCCATATCGAGTAACATGGAAGCCTAAATAATTTTAGAAAACATTTTCCATACAAAACAAGTAGAAACGCTAGATTATATATAATAAATTTCCATTTCAAATGCAAAGCTGGGCTCATAAAAAAGCAAGGAAAATCTTGGAAGACCAAAAATAAAGAAGAATGCGAATAGTATGTGGTAAGACTGGAATATTCCACAGGCTTATATTTCGCATTTACATAGAGACTGGAGATGGGACCTTGGGCTAGTACAAAATTGGAAGCTGAACTTGAGGCTCTAGAATAAGGCCAGGAGTCTCAAAGAACTAAACCCAATAACAGCATGAACTAGAATGAAAAAAATATGCTTGTCATCTCATAAAAAATAAATTTATCTGTTTCCAAGATCCAGCTTTAAATTAAGAAAAAAACAAGTATCACCTAAGCATTCGTAATCATGGGCCTAGCTGTATGAAGTCTGAATCTTCATTAATACTACCTGAATACTCCCAGAACCTTTATTATTTATTTATTTATTTATTTATTTTTATTTTTATTTTTAGAACCTTTAAACTAAGGAAATAACAACAACAACAAAATTCCATGTGCTACTGATTCTTCTAGAATGTCTGACAGATGCAACTGCTCTGGAGGTAGATGTGTTAAGTCTAGATTGTACAGAGTCCCAAATGATATAAAATTTAAGCATACAATTTCAGTGGTAGACAATACATTGTGAGATATGTATTAGTTTGTTCTCACGGTGCTATAAAGAACTGCCTGAGGCCAGGCAATTTATAAAGAAAAGCGGTTGCATGGCTGGGGAGGACTCAGGAAATATATCATCGTGGCAGAAGGGGAAGCAAACATATCTTTCTTACATGGTGGCAGGAAAAAGAACAGAGCGAAGGGGGGAAAGCCCCTATAATCTAATCACCTCCCACAAGTTCTCTCTCATGACATGTGGGGATTTGGGGAACCAGAATTCAAGATGAGATTTTGGCGGGGGCACAGCCAAACCATACCAAGGTAGAATCAAAGTAACAGAAAGATCATTCTCAAAAATTTCACATAATAGAATGAACAAGCAAGTAAGTATATTTGAAATGATAAATGACATAAAAAAAAGGAAATCATAGAAATGAGATTAAGTAGAAAACATTATTTTTTTCTTTCTTTATTTGAGACCATGTCTTGCTCTGTTGCCAGGTGCCAGGCTGGAGTTCCGTGGCATAACCTCAGCTCACTGCAACCTCCGCCTCCCAGGTTCAAGCACTTCTCCTGCCTCAACCTCCCTAGTAGCTGGGACTACAGGCCCACACCACCACACACATCTAATTTTTGTAATTTTTAGTAGAGTTGGGGTTTCACCATATTGGCCAGGATGGTCTCAGTCTTTTGACCTTGTGATCTGCCTGCCTTGGCCTCCCAAAATGCTGGCATTACAGGTGTCAGCCACCATACCCGGCCAGAAAACATTATTTTTAAAAGATCACCTAGTATGTGATAGCACAACAGAGTGACTGTGGTCAATGATAACTTAATTGTACATTTAAAAATAACTAAAAGAATATAATTGGACTACTTGTAACACAAAGGATAAAGGACTGTCTGAGGGAATGGATACTCCATTTTACACAATGGGATTATTATGGATCATATGCTTATATCAAAACATCTCATGTACCCCATAGATACATATGACTATTGCGTACCCACAAGAATTAAAATAATTAATTTAAAAAACAAAGCAGATTTTCAAAAGAAAAAAATAGAATTTGCAGATAGGAAAACATACTCATTGAAATTGAAAATGCAATAAATGGGTTACACAGAATACAAGTCAAAGCTGAAGGGAAATTAGTTATCTAAAAGAGATGAAGAAATTATACAGAATCTAACATAGATAAAAGATAAAACAGAGGTTGAGAGAGTTAGTTAAGGTGACTATTTCAGGTGGAAAGGCTGGTTTCATCACATCATATTTAACTAAGGCAGGAATGGCAAATAACTAGAATGCATGCTGCTACTCCTCCTAGTATTAATTTATGATAGACATTCCTTGGATATGGCCATAATGCCCTTTTATTGTAGCACATTGGGCAGATTAAAAAAAAAAACTCACTTTTGATGTTGGTCATGGTGTTTTTATCTTGGATGGATATGCCCAAATCACAGCATTGTACAACTCAAGTAGGGACTGTTTACATAAATTGCACTATGAGTGATATCCACTGGAGCTTTACAATAGGATGGCCTTGTTACTGTACCTTCACCCCAAACTCTTTCTCCGCCCTTTCTTCCTCCTCCCACTAAGAATAGATGTAATATGGTTTTTTACATTAGTAGCTAAATAGATCGTATGTTTGACTTTTTTGGCATTGTTTTTTAAGCTGACTAAAATACTGTTTTCATAACATTGCAACAACTTATCTGAACATATAATTTACTATTCATTCTGTGACAAAAAATCAAATATGCCACATTGTGTATATACTTAAATATTTTTTATATAGTTCCACTCACCTCAGTTTGACAACATGAGCTCTGATGAACTGATTTCTTAAATTTGATTCTTTGAATGTTTTAGTAATCTGTAGAAAGAAAATGGGGGAAACTCTCTGTGTTTACAGTTCTTATTTTCCTTCCTCTCAACCTTGCAACTGAGACATGTTAATGAAGAGTAGAAAACTAAATTTTCACTTTAGTTCAACCCAATTCTATAGCAAAACACATGGGATGATTTGGGCAGGTTCTGCAAGCTTTCGATGCAGTGCCTATTCATTCCCGTGTCTCTTACACAGAGATGATGCTGGACAGGATGTGTTTTTGCTAGAAATCATTTTAAACACATCAAATGTTTTACTCTGAGGGGTTATGTTATATGACTTGGTGGCTGTTACTAAGGGCTTGGGGCAGGAGTTATGCCAGCATGAGGGAAGTCCACTGAGACAACTCAAAATGTGTGATCCCCCAAAATAATGGATGAAACCTGATTAAACTGGACTAAATGAGTAGCAATGGAAAACTTGAAGAGAACAGGAGAAGAAAGCAAAGGGCAGTTTTGTTGTTGTTGTTGTTTGGTCATTTCTTTCTGATTCATACCTAAGCATCAGAGGCTTTTTTAGCATCAGTTGGTAATTTCTTTTTTTACTTTTTAAGAAATTGAGTCTCACCATGTTGCCCAGTTTCAAGTGATACTCCTGCCTCAGCCTCCTGAATAGCTGAGACTACAGGTACCCACCACCATATCTAGATAATTATAAATTATATGCATGTAATAATACTGCACTATTAGCAAGATACATTATAAAATATTTATAAGATTAGAAATTAAAAAGACTGAGTTATAAAATAAATACTTAGGTATTTTATTTTTTAATAATATTTTTGGAATTACAGTATAACTGGATAGAATTTATAGTTTTTGAACATCATGATAAAATGGTTCAAAGGTCTGATTCTAAGTTTAATTTCAATACTTGATTTTGAGAACTGAAAAAATTTCCTCATAATTGCCTGGCCCCACATGCATGAAGTTTATCATTGGTAGAATTCATTGTTTCATGACACTAAGTTGTCAGTCTCACTCATCATGAAAATTTTTGTTAAAATTAAGCAAATGAATTTCCATTTTCCATGATGTCAATTGGTTGTCCTTGCAAACCAACTGAAAGGCGTTGTGTTTTATGTATTTTTTAAATAAATGTGTATAAAATCTGTTAAACATTATAGTTATTTTTTTCTCCCAAATTTTTATGTGTTCATGTTGGAGGACTTTTACAGATAACATACTTTATATGATTTTCAGCCAGACAAAACAAAAGAAAACCCAATCACCTAATGATGAACATATTGCTAAACACGTTTTCAGTCTTCTCTCTATAGCATGAATTTTATCTAAGAAGTGAATTTTGTTTTTTGAGATGGAGTCTCTGTCACCCAGGCTGGAGTGCAATGGGTGATCTTGGCTCACTGCAACCTTCACCTCCTGGGTTCAAGCAATTCTCTTGCCTCAGCCTCCCAAGTAGCTGGTATTATAGACACCCACCATCGTGTCTTGTTAATTTTTGTAGAGATGGGGTTTCACCATGTTGGCCAGGCTGGTCTTGAACTCCTGACCTCAGATGATCCACCCACCTTGGCCTCCCAAAGTGCTGGGATTACAGGCTTGAGCCACTACATCTGACCTTAAAAAGTGATATTCTGATGCATAGACCTTGAAGGAAAAGGTTGTGTGTGTTTGTTGAAATGTTACTCCTGATGGCAAAGGAGAGTTTTAATGACTCAGTTGATCCCAGGTATGAATCCTGATTGAAGTCTGTTTTATTTGGAGAAAACCTTTTAAGTAGAATGCATTCATAGTTTTGATACATGTACTTCTTTCTTTTTTTTTTAATTGCATTTTAGGTTTTGGGGTACATGTGATGAACATGCAAGATTGTTGCATAGGCGGGTGTTGAACAATGAGAACACATGGACACAGGGAGGGGAGCACTACATGTACTTATTTCTAAATGGCCTCATTTATTTACTTATTCAACAACTGTTTTTGAGCATCTCTTGTGTGCCACCCCGCTTTCTGTCAGGTATTGGAATACAACAATGGATAGAAAACAGTAATCTGGCCATCATGAGCTTACATCTAATGGAGAGAAATGGGAACTAATCAAATCATTATTCACAATCAAGTAAAACTATAACTGTGAAGAGTGCAACAATACAGTAGAGGGACCTGAGCCCATTAACGATATTATAGAGATTTCTCAAAGGAAATGCTTATTGAGCTGAGATTTTCAGGAAGAATCAGACTTAGCTGGTTAAAGAGGAAGGAAACAAATCCTTGGTGGAATGAATGGCACATGCAGTTCTGAGGTGGGAAGAAACAGGTTGTGCTTAAGTAATGAAAGAAGGTCAGTGCAACTGCACTATGGAGACCAAGCAGGCTAGGGTGACAGGAAAGTCCACAGTATGCTGGTCTTTGCACGGAAGTATTTTGTCTTTATCATAAACACTGGGAAGCCACAAAAGTGTTTTAAACAAGAGGATAATATAGTCAGATTTGCAATATGAGAACAATCTCTCTTGCTACATATAGATAATCAGTTTTAGAGAAAAATAATGCAAATGAACAAATTAGTTTTGTTGCTATTTTGGTACCCTGGGGTAGAGGCAATGGCTTGGATAGTCATGGCAGCAATGAATATGGAGAGAGGTGAATAAATTTGAAGGAAATACAGGGAATAAAATGAACAGCGGCTGGCGATGGATTGGATATTTGGAATGATAGTAGAATTTTCAGGATGAATTATAGATTTCTGATTTGGATAATTAATAAATGGTATTGTTATTAATAGGGATAGGTATTGTTGGTAGAAAGCTAGGATGGTGTGGGGATATCATGAGTTTGATTTTGAGAGATAATATATTTGAGTTGTTTTGAAACAGCCATGTAAGGATTTCGAGCTGGCAAGCTAGAGTGCAGAAGAACAGCCTGGGCTGGAAATATAGTGAATCATTGGTGTATAAGTAGAGGTTGAAGTACTGAGCATGTATGGGGTCATAGGAGAGGTGGGCATAAGCCAAAGCTTTGAGGTATTTCAACATTTAATGGCAGTGTAGAGGAGGGTGAGCCTGTAAAGAACACAGAGAAGTAATGACCAGTGAGGCAGGCTGAGAAAAAGAGGTGAAGGAGTGGCATGAGTATCTCTCATTAAAATCACACAATCATAGACTTTTTATATGAGAATGTACTACGCAAATTATCTAGTCCAATTATTTTCTTTTACTTATGAATGACAAGTGAATTGCTAAGTAAAATAGAAGATTCTGAGACTATTCCAATACTCATTCAGTGTTATCACTTTGTCTGTGGGATGATAATAATATTACACCTGTTATCATGAAAAATGGTATGATCCTTGGATTTTGAGTCAAGACCCTGGTTTGAATTCTGGTTATACCACTTTCCAGCTCAATGGCCTTTGATGTGTTTCTTAATCTCACAATCTTTACTTACCAGTCTATACACATGATTTATTACTTTTTATGGCTGTTGTGAAATAAAGGTTAGATAATATATGTGAAAATGCTTTGTAAACTATAAAACACTGTATTAGAGTACGATTTATATAACATTTTAAATGTTCAAACTGTTTCTACAAAAGGATACATATGTAAGATTAACTAGGGAAGTCATACAGTCAGAAGAATTTTGAGGAAATCTTGAAATACTAAGTATATTGTCAAGCCACAGTACTCTAAATGTCCTGGTAATGGTGCAGGCAAAGATTAATTACAGAAAGAGATTAGAGTACAGAAAAAAAAGACAAGGAAAAATTTACTTTATGATAAAGGTGACGTGACAAATCAACTGCACTATTTAACACACATAGTGTTTAATAGTGTGTTAAACACTGTGTTTAGAAAGTGGCCTCTCAGATACCAAATCTGCTGGTGCATTAACTTTGACTTCTCTAAATTTCTGTTGTTCACATGCCACCAGTGTATGGTATTTTGTTGTAGCAGCCCAAACAGGATGAAAACACCAACTGACAATAAACTTTGTGTGGGGAAAAAAAGACTCCTGAGTTAGGAATAGATATAAACTCCTGGGAGTGGAAGGAAGTCCCAGGGATGCTAAGGCTCCTGCAGAGGGAGGAAGGCCCCTGCCAGAAGCTGACACCCCAGGGAAGTGCAGCAGCAGGGTCTCAGTGCCAGCTCTGGTGGGGTGACAATCCAGAAGAGAAGAAGGGTTTCTGTGCACTTGGAGAGGCAGAGCCCCAGGTCTGCATGGTTGGGATCTGCCTCCGAGGGGACTTGTGCAGTGTCAGCATGTGTGTGTGCGCTTGCATGTGCGCCTTCATTCGTCTTTAAATCTCAATCAATCGATCTTATATTTCGCTCCCTTTCTCCACCATGCCTGACATTTTTAACATTCAGCCTTAAAAAGCCCAAACCCGTTTCATCATTTTGTAGTACTTTATGACTTAGACAGCTGAACACACACTCATTCATTATTTACAGCTCAGTAGATCTTACTGTACCCATGTAGCAAGTGAAGAAAAAGCCTGTGAGCCTTCGAGTGACTTGCCTGGAAGTGTAGGAAATCAAACTAGTCCTTTGACTACCTGCTCAGGGCCATTTCTGCTGCCACAGAGCAAACGTTTACACACAGGCTGAGGGCTTTGGAAATGTACTGCATAGGGAGCTGGTGCTGTCCTGGCATTGACTCAGTTCCCTGCTATTGTATGTGTCTGGGAAGATGCACTGGTTTTAATGGAGATCTACTGCAGCCATTCTGTCCTCTCTGCACATTCACTTAGGTGGTGGGTCCCGCGTCGCAGATTCAAGATAAGTGGCATCAATAAAGCTTCATTACTTAAACCAACAAGTGGTTCAGAAAATACACCCAAACAACTGGGGATCCCGATCTCTAGGAATAATAAATTTCACCCATCTCCCAGTTCTGAACTGCACTTGTGTATGAAGGAATTGGCTGAGAGACAGCTCTGCAGATAGATGCTACGACAAAAAATATCAAAAGATCTCATCTTCCCAGAGCCACTGGTGATTTGCTGTCCTCCACTGAGGGAGGGGCACCTCCTAGTCTTGCCAAGACTGTAAATCTGAAGTGGTTGGGCTGGGAACATGGGTGAGGAGAGGTTCATTAGAGATTGTTCATTTTGTGTCTTTATTGCTGGCTCCAGCCTAGATCTTTCTCTGAGGTGGTCTAGGCATCCATTCCTTTGCCCACTGAATCACTCTGCTGAGATGTCCACAGTGAACTTTTGTTTCCCTGAACAATCTGCTTTCATTTTGGTTTCCTCTTCTAGCCAATGGCACCACCATATACCCACGTTAGATATTTCTGTGTCAGTGTTACCCCGTCACCTCTCATCCTGTCTTGTAGTCCATTGCCAAGTTTTGTGGATCCTACCTTAAACCCATCCTCTCCTGTCTATTCCCTGGGAGCACTCCTAGTGCCTGGTGTGTCTCTGGTTTGGCCCTTGTGGGTGCTGCTCTGCTGCACTCCCACCCACCTTTGGACTCTACTCCCACTCAAACCATCAGGGAAGTGGGGCAACTCATACCCAATGGTGGAGGATGAATGCTTAAGGCCCATCTCCTGCCCCCTGCCTCGGGCTCCCTTCAGTCTTCTGTGGCAACAGCTGCAGTTTGACTCTTTCTCTGCCCAATGCTGCTTCCTTGTCTTCCTGAAGGTGTTGGTTGAAAGAGACACTCCCTGTATGCAAGTCTTAGAGCCTTCTGCCCTGGGTAACTAACCTGTGATACTTGTTGCCTGGATAGTCCTAGGAAGCAAACTAAAATGCAGTTAGAATTGGAAACCCTCCTGCAGTTTCAGTAGAGGAGACTGTCGGTGGGAGATGAGTGCTGAAAGCTTTGAGTGGAGCTCCATGGAGCAAAAGGACCAGGCTGCACTGTCAGGCTCGTTAAAACACAGATTTCTAGGCCCCAACATCAGAATTTCTGATTTAGTAGGTCTTGGTAAAGCCAAGATTTTGCATTTCTAACAATTTCTAGGTGATGCTAGAGACCATACTTAAAAAACCCCTGAGTTCATCTTAAATGAGAACCATCACAGCTGGAGGACTGAATCATAAGCTTATTTAACACATTTTTTTCTCTAGAAGCAAGCATCATTGAAAACCAAGTTATGAGAAGACTGCAGGGTGAACACAGACTAAAGCCAGGAAAGTTAGATATATCATTTAAATGTTTAATAATATCAGAATGAACAGTTGAATCAGAATGATTTGGGAGGAGAATCTAGGGCAGGAACCAGACTTAACCGTCAGTCCTGCCAAATGTTGTGGATATACAAAAATGGAATGAATATGGAGCTGTCCTCATGGAGCTTAGGCTAACATGAAAAATTAAACCAGTCTACAAATATTTATAATATAAAATATATAGAGGTATGTGGCATGAGATAAACATAGATACGACTTTGCAGTGAGGTGACATGGAAGGAGGATTAATTATATCCAATCATGGAGATCAGAGGGAATTTCTTATAAAAGATGGCTTTTCAGGTTGGCTATCAGAATAAATAGGGCACACGATGACTGAAATATGAGCCAAGGCATAGACATGAGAAGGTGCTTAGCTAACAAGTTTGAATTATACTTCGTAGGCAAAAAGTCTTAAGCTGGAGGTAACATGAAGGGAAGAGGCTGTGAGAGGTTTGTTTTCAGAAGCTTGTGAATTAGATAAGAAAGAAACGAGCCAGCACACAGTGAGAACAGTTAGAAGCTCATTGCAGTGGTTCAGAAAAGCACCAAGGGATTAAAAACCTGGATTAAGGAATATTCTAGAAAATGTAGAAATGCTGATAAAACTTTATCTTGTGCTCACCAAAGCCAACCCTGCCAGGTGACTTGGTTACATGGTAAAATTTTAGAACAGTTGAATTCCTATATAGCCTTAGGATATTTTTTTGAAAAGGCAAGGGTAAGTGAGCGACACTGAGACTGGTCAGCTCTGACTCTGCAAAGCTAAAGGGCAGCGCCTGGTGTGTGGTGATACATGAATGTTAAAAGTTCGCTCGTGAGGTTTCCTGGCAAGTAGCCAGAGGGCCTCTTCAAGTCAGAGCCCAAAATTGCTTTGCATATTTCTGTTCAAACTTCTATGTCTATCATTGAACCAAGGTGCAATGTTGTCCAAACTATGTTATTACTGATATGGTAGCCAGAGGGCCTCTTCAAGTCAGAGCCCAAAATTGCTTTGCATATTTCTGTTCAAACTTCTATGTCTATCATTGAACCAAGGTGCAATGTTGTCCAAACTATGTTATTACTGATATGGTAAACCTATCTTTTAACACCTCCTTCCATGTGTCTTTAGTTGAATAAGGAAGTGGAAAGAGGGCAAAATGAAAAGAATTTTAAAAGACAATGTTAATGCTTAGTTATACAAACAAAAGCTTTCAGTATTTGAAGTCATAAGCAAATAAAATGTATATTTGCTCATGGCTTTTGTAACACATTTTACTCATGACAAAGATATGAATAAGAACCAGTACCCTAGTAAACTAAATTGATAAAAGCAGAGAGAAACACATGTTTCACCATGCAAGGAAGTAAAATTATAGAGCACCTAGCAATGGAAAATATTTTACAAAATATTAGGTTTATTATTATATTCATTTTATAATGGAACAAAGAGCAAAGATAAATATTAACTTACCAGAGATTCAATTCTCCCACTCAAAGTCCTGTATTCCTGTGTAGCTGGTGAATTTAGCTGACTATTATATTCAACATTCATGAGTTCAAAACTGCTTCTGTAAAAATAAGATTTTTGATCTGGAAAAGAAATTAAAAGGCAGGGTCAGTCTTACTTTACTAAGTAGTTGAATCTTTAATTTATTCAGGATTATGGGAGGCTATGTTATAGAATTATAAAAATTTGCTTTCCTTGAAAGAAAGAAAAAGTTCTATGCTTCATATAGGTGTAATTATGATTAAATTATTATTTTTTTCAATTTTTAAAAAGATTGGCAAAGCCAGAGTGGTGTAGATGTTTAAAAATCAGAGTGGAATTGTTATTTGAGAAATTAAAAATTGTCAGAAACACTGTAATTTTTATTCTTGCTATATTTTAAGGGAGATTTGTGGTGTATTCAGAAAATATTAATGTTTGTATATACTATTATTCATTATTCATTTATCATTAAGAAAGAGCCCAAAGTATGAAACTTCTAAAAATTATTTCAAATAATATTCTTTATAGAGGAGTTAGTGATTTGCTATTAGTTTTTCTGGAGTTAGCTAGAAAATAAGTCTTCTGACAAGATATCTAATCTAGTAATTCAATGTAAATTATTTTCATCAAAAGGCACCTTGCAAAATAAAAAACTAGAACAGACCAGTAACAAGTTATAAGACTGAGTCAGTAATAAAATGTCTCCTAGTAAAGAAATGTCTGGGACCAATGGCTTTATTACCATTCTACCAAATGTTTAAAGAAGAACTAACACCAATTTCTCTTCAAACTATTCAAAAACATCAAACATGGGGGAGTTCTCCTTAACTCATTCTGTGAAGCCAGTATTACTCTGATAGAAAACCAGACAAGGACACAGTAAAAAATACTACAGGCCAGGTGTAGTGGCTCACACCTGTAATTCCAGCACTTTGGGAGGCCAAGGCATGTAGATCATGAGGTCAGGAGTTTGAGACCAGTGTGGCCAACATGAAACCTCATCTCTACTAAAAATACAAAAAGTAGCCAGGTGTGGTGGTGTGCACCTGTAATCCCAGCTACTCAGGAGGCTGAGACAGAAGAATTGCTTGAACTCAGGAGGCAGAGCTTGCAGTGAGCCGAGATTGTGCCACTGCATGCCAGCCTGGGTAGCAGAGCAAGACTCCATCTTGGGAAAAAACAACAACAACAAAAAAAACAAAAACAAACAGACAAACAAAAAAACTACAGGTCGATATTACTGATGAACACAGAGGCAAAAATCCTCAACAAAATACTATCAAACTGAATCCAACAGCATATCAAAAAGATAATATACCACAGCCAATTGGGATTTATCTCAGAGATACAAGAATGGTTCAACATATGCAAATCAATAAACGTAATACATCACATTAACAGAATGACAACAAAAACCATATGATCATCTCAATAGATGTTCAATAGATTCAATATCCCATCATGACAAAAACTCTCAAAAAACTAGGCACAGAAGAGACATACCTCAACAACATAAAGGCTGACCAACCCACAGCTAACATTTTACCAAATGGGGAAAAGCTGAAAGTTCTTCTTCCTCTAAGCACTGAAGCAAGACAAGGATGTCCACTTTCATCACTTATTCAACATAGTACTGGAAGTCCTAACCAGAGCAATCAGATGAGACAGAGAAATAAAAAGACATTCAGATTAGAAAAGAAATTACATATTCAGATTGTTCCTTTTTGCAGATTATATAATTTCATATCCAGAAAAACCTAAAGACTCTTATATCTGATATACAATTTCAATAAAGTTGCAGGATACAAAATCAACCTACAAAAGTCTGTAGCACTTCTATACATCAACAATGAAGTAGCTAAGAAACAAATCAAGAAGGCAATTCCATCTTCTACAAGGAAAACTACCAAACACTCATAAAAGAAATGGAAGAGGACACAAATGGAAAGATATTCCTTGCTCATGGCTTGAAACAATTGATACCATTTAAATGACTATACTCTTCAAAGCAGCCTATAGATTTAATGCAATCCCTATCAAAATACCAACATCACTTTTCACAGAAATAGAAAAAAAATCCTAAAATTTGTATGAAACAAAAATAAAGAGCCCAAATAGTCAAATCAAACCTGATAAGAAAGAACAAACCTGGAGGAATCACACTACCTGACATCAAACTATACTCCAAGGCTATAGCAATCAAAATAGCATGGTATTGGTATAAAAACAGACACATAGACCAATAAAATAGAATAGAGAGCCCCGAAGGAAATTTATTTACAGTCAACTGAGTTTTAACAAAGGTGTTAAGAACATACAATGGCGAAAGCACACTCTCTTCAATAAATAGTACTAGGAAAATTGGATATCCATTTGCAGAAGAATGAAATTGGACCCTTATCTCTCACTATATAAAAAAATCAACACAAGATAATTAAATTCTTCAATGTAAGATATAAAACTATGAGAACTATTAGAAAAAAAACATAAGGGGAAACACTTCATGTCTTTAGTCTGAGGAAATGACTTATGGCTATGACCTGAAAAGTACAGACAACAAAAACAAAAATAGACAATTGGGAATTAATTAAACTAAAAAGTTTCTGCACAGCAAAAGAAACAACTAACAGAGTGGAAAGACAACCTGTTGAATGGGAAAAAATATTTTCCAACTGTTTTTCTGACAAGAAACTAATACCTAGAATATACAAGGACTCAAACGACTCAACATTAAAAAAAATAAAAATTCTGTTAAGAAGTGGGCAAAGAACATGATGAAAATTTCTCAAAATAAGAAATACAAATTGTCAACAGGTATATGAAAAGTGCTCAACACTACTAATCATTAGAGAAATGCAAATCAAATCCACAATGAGATATCATCTCACCTTAGTTAAGATTACTATTACCAAAAAGACAGAAAATAACAAATGCTGGTGAGAATGGAGAGAGAAAAAAATTCTTATATACTGCTGGTGGAAATGTAAATTAGTGCAGCCATTATGGAAAATGGCATGGTGATTTCTCATAAAACTAAAATAGAATTACCATATGATCTAGCAATCCTGCTACTGGGTACTTATCCAAAAGAAAATAAGTCAGCATGTCAGAGAGATACTTGTACTTGTGTGTTTATGTCAGCACTGTTCACAATATCCAAGATGTGGAATCAACCTACATGTCCATCAAAAAATGAATGGATAAAGAAAATATGATATATCTATATCTATATCTATCTATCTATCTATCTATCTATCTATCTATCTATCTACACACACACACAATGGAATACTATTTGGTCATAAAAAGAATGAAATCCTGCCATTGCAGAAACATGAATGGAACTGGCTGTCATTGTGTCAAGTGAAATAAGGCAGGCACAGAAAGACAAAATTAGCCAGGCAAGGTGGTTCATGCCTGTAATCGCAGTATTTGGGGAGACAGAGGTGAGAAGGTCACTTGAATCCAGGAATTTGAGACCAGCCTGGGCAACAAAGTGTGACCCCATCTCTACTACTGAAAAAAAAAAAGAATAAAAAAGAAAGACAAATATGTTCTAACTCATATGTGGGGGCTAAAAAGTTGATCTCATCAGTGTAGAGAGCAGAATGACAGATACTAGAGACTGGGAAAGGTAGAGGAGGGTGAGGGGGATTGAAGAGAGGTTGGCTACAGGTATAAACATACAGTTAGATAAATGGTGTGAGTTGTGTTGTTTAACAGCAGAGCAGAGGGACAACAGTTAACAATATATTATGTTTTTCAAAGCAGCCAGAAAAGAGAACCTGAGTTGTTCAAACACATAGAAATGATAAATACTCAGTGATGTATTCCTCAAATACCCTGGATTGATCATTACACATTCTATGCATGTAACAAAATATCATATGTATGCCATAAATATGTAAAATGTATGCATCAGTAAAACAACAATAACAATAACAACAACAGGGGTCTTCCAGAGGACCTATTGATTTGTGTGGAGATAAAAATCTCTAAATCCTATCTGTACACAACTCAGAAACATTATGAAAATGTTCATAACCTAATGGAATCTGTCTCAGAATAAAAATCTCCACTTTCTTTTGATCCTTCATATGCATTACTTACACAGACAAATACCTTGGTAAGGGGCAAGTGTTGGAGATCCTGGGGGAAGGGTGGTTGTTTGTAGTGGAAGATGAAGTCATTTGGGGGCCTCAAGTGATCACTAGAACACAGTTTGCAGATGATTTACCAAGGGGCCTACTTTTTAAGTATGACAATGCAGCATCATTAAAAGTAAAAATTCATTAATTTAATCTGAAACTCCATGTCTTTTTTTTCTACTTCTGTAGTTCACATGAGGGATAGGTGAATTCAGGTGATTTGATAGCAAAATGCAGTCAAAAGCAAAATTTAGCCACAACATTTACATTTGATTGGCTGAAATAATTGTATATCATTATTGGTATTTCTAATGTTCGTAATTTTAGTGCGCCATTGGAATTATTTCAACCTTTGCATAGTTAAGAATGTTTGCCTGTTTACAGTTGGACATACTACAAGTTATGTTCTGTTTTTTTTCTCTTCACATTCACACATACTCATGTACACACCTGTACACCCATGCACATGATTTAAGTGATTTAATAGAATTATATTTGAAATAAAAATAACCTCAAAGTGAATTTTAAGTGAAGAAAAGATTCTAATGTATGATATTATTTAGTAAAACTCGGCACATTTTACGTATCTATGGTAAAGCATCTGAAAGAGCCTTCACAGAGATTTTTGAGGGAAGTTGTTTATGAATGAGCATGGTGTATGTATTCTTTATATTATTTTTTTCTTGTCCATGTTGTCTATTTTTTAGTGATATAATAATACAAATTAAACAAAATAAAAGAGAGAACTGAAGAACATAATGTTTTAAAAAGTTTGACTTTACCCCTTTTTACTTCTCAACTGAAATTTTGTCTCCTGACCATCATAACAGTTAGGCTTGTAAGACACTGTTTTCAGAAGACAGAACATTATTTGTTAATAAGAATGTACAAATACTTAGGAACATCCAAATTTTAGGTGTTGAAATTCAAAGTTCATTGCAATATTTCACTTTTATAATTTTATCTGGTTGTCAATGAAGGAAATAATAGTATTAATGAAAAACAAAATTAGTAAATTTTAGGATCAGAAAATTATTGAGAGGTTTTGTTTCCTTTGGATAGAATAATTCTTTTCTGAATAACAAGGTTTGGTTTGCTCAAAAAGTATGTTTGGGGCACGAAAAATGGCCAAAATAAGAAAGAGAAAAAATACTGATTGAGGAAAAATACAGACATGAATTATATTTAGGGAAGAATTACAAGTAAGATATATAATCACATATATTAGGTAATAAAAGCAGTAATAAATAAAATAATGCCAAACTAAATCTGATATTGTATGTAGTTATTAAATCTGAAGAGTAATAATGTTCTGGTACTTACCAAAAGCTAAAAAGTAAACGAGTAGAGCTATGGTCACTGCAAGGATCACTACCCCTGCGACAACAATGAAACATACCACATACGGATTCAGAAACCTTGAAGTCGATGGTACACGTGCTGGCCTTGCAAGAGAAAGAGATCAAAAAAGGTCATTCATTTCACCCATCATTTTAGTGCTCATGATTTTCTTCTTTCTCGGACTCTTTTCTTGCACACGGTTCTAGCCATAGAAATATATTCCTAGAAATGAAACTGAACTTAACAGCGTTGTCCTTCGTGGTTTTTCTTTCAAGTTTCCCCACCCCCCCACCCAAGCACAAAATGATTGAAATTCAAGTAGTCTGATGGAAAAATAAGGAAAGCCGACTTATGGTTTGGAATTGCTTTCCCTTCTGTCAAGTGATAAAGTTTTCGAGAATAACAACAAATCATTCTCTGTTCTACTGCAATGCCTTCCAAAATACTGTGCTGGACAGTACTGTAGTAACCTTCTTTGCTTGGGCACCATCCCCAAGATTGTACTGAAGAGAGATCATTTGGGTGGGAAGAAGTGTGGAAGAAGATAAAGAAGCAGGGGTGGGGTGGTAAGAGGGGTCAGAACAGTAGCATTTCTCATTACCAGATTCCCCATATTATTGAAAATCGGCAGAGGCAGAGAACTAGGATCAGGGAGAATAGGAAGCACCTGAAATGAATTAGAATTGCTCCAACAGCCAATGATTTATGTGATTTACCATATTTTAGCCATAAATTTGTACTAATACAAAGTCACACACACTCACACTGGGGAAATCACCAGAGGAGCTGGGTGTGAATTCCAGTTTTACCCCTTGTTTGCTTGGAGGTCATATTGTCATTTATCTGAGATTTTCTTTATCTGAAAAATAGGAATAATAATACCTACCTCAAAAGGCTGTTTTGAAGATTAAGCGGGGTCATGTTATGTGTTATAAAGTATATTTTTCTAGTTCAATAGGTTATCCACTTGGCTGTGAACACCTTAAAGGTAAACATAATTTTTATGCCGATGTTTAACATAGGCAAAGTGTTTAACACTTTGTAGAATGCTTGAGTTATATACGTGTTTTGTAAGTATTTATGGTATTTATAAATATTTATTGCCTGTGTTAATTCTAGATATGTTTCATTTTTAAAAGCCTTAGTAGAGCTGAGAAGCAGTTATTGTTAGGCATATTCTAATTTTTATATTTTTCTATTTTGTTTTGCTGACATTCTGGTATAAGTGAGAAGGGAATGTTCTGGGGGTCTGTGCTGTGAGGTACAGTTCACTGCAGTGTTGCTTGGTATTGTTTGGGATTTACCCAACTCACAGGCCTATAAAAGGGCACCTCTTGATATTTTGCATTGTGGCACCTGCACATTGTATGCTGTGTTGCTGGAACTAGTAACATTTCAGAAGATTGTTGGAAGCAGAAATATATTTGCCAATTTTCCATTTTGTTGAATAAACATAAGACACTTAAAAAATTTACCCTGTTCAAATATGATCACTTAAAGAAAAGAGGATTTAAAATATATAACATAGGAAGAAAATAACCTCAGAATAATTTTTTAAATGCTGTAACTTTATGATGTCTTTTTGTTACATTTGTCTTATTTGTTCATTTTGCTACACTAGTAAAAAGTGACTTTCACTGACATGGACTGAGAGTTCAGTATTCAGCAGTAGTTGGAGAAAATTGTCAGTTTGACATTTACTAACTATTTGAGTGTCAGTTTACCCACTTGTTACCTTATGGGCTATTGTGTCTGTTACATGCAGTCACAAATGCATAATGTTTGGTTTTTGTGATTTCAGTAATTATTAATGGCTGCTGAGTAGTGAAAGAGTCAAAGAGAGACAGAGTTGGATGCAAATGTAACCCCAAATGCTAAATAAATCTCAAATTGTTCCTTTCTGCAACAATTAGGGACTGATTTTTTTTCCAGAGATAAATTTATATGTCAGGATCTGTAAGTGTGGAGTTAGAAGAACTGTAAACAAAGATTAAGTTGAAGGCTAAAATCCCCAAAAAATAAAATAAAAAGGCTAGAGACTATATACACATTAACTTGAATGAGCCTCCCATGGGAACGACGTTACAGCCAATTTTGCTTTTAGTTCATGTTAAACATCTTGAACTCAATAACTGAAAAGCACTGTGAGACATATGACTCAACAAAGAAAGGGTGTGGAGCCCAAACTACCTTAATCTCACAAGCCGTAATTAATTACCTAAGAAGGAATTGTTCCACCCTGTAGAAACAACTGAAAAAATAGCTGCTCTCTTGTTAACAGTGCAACTTATAGTTGAACCTCTGTACGTTGCTGCTAACACAAACCAAATTGTGCATGTTTACTCTAAATATGTGTGTAAACAGTGAATTTTTATTCATAATGCAATGGAAACCTGTGCAAGAAAATATTTTGCTTTTAAAGCAGCATCCTGGTCAGTGAGATTTTTAGTGCTTGCATTTAAACAGCAAAGCAAATATTCCGTTGTGACCCATTTAACCAGTTTCCCTCTCTCTATTTTATTGACTTGAAAAAATTGCATGAAAATGGAAAATTTATCTTTTTATACTTTTATTGTGATAGCTTATCTGTCAGGCATGTACATGTACATTATCAATCTTCACAATTTTTTCACAGCCTTGTAAATTCTGTTATGATTGCATTTTAAATACAGGGAAGGTGAGGCTCAGAGAGTGAATAACATGTTTATTCAGGAGTGACAGAACTGGAAACAGAAACTAGGTAGATTTGAATAAAGAGACATGAACTTCCGCTCACATACACTTTCCTGAGTATTTTACTTCACACTCCAGGGAATGGGACAGCTTTGGGTTTCATGTCTCTCCTGACCTCACTTGGGGGAAGCAAAGGGAATCAACATCTATTAATAATATTTCTTAAGATATATCTTCAGCCCAGACCTCTCTCTTTGAGCTCCACATCATCATTTCCAAGGACTAATTGAAAGTGTTATGGATGCTTTACAACCACCTTAAATAGAAAAGTTCAAAAGTGAACTTGATATTTTTTCTGCCATTGATGATATGCCCAGGGTTGTATTAAACAATTTTTCTACAAGACATTTTTTCCAACTAAGACATAATCATTTCTTTTTTTTTTTGAAGTTTCCTTTGTTATAATATCAGCCATGTCTTTCAAATGAAGAACCTGAGATACAAAAGGTTTCTTTAATTAATTTTAAACTTTGAAACACAGTGTTTAATTCCTACATCATAAAGCACTTCTAAGGGGATGTGAAAAGGGAGCTGGACTAGAGATAGGAAATTTGGATTCAAGTACTCCTTCTGTGAAGTATAAGGTATGTGATCTCACATTAATCATAACTATTTTAAGCTTCAGATTTCAAAAAAAATTTAAATGGTAAAGACAATACCTTCCTCATAATTTGATTTTTTAAATCAAATAAAACAATGTATCTGCCAATAACGTGTAAACTAAAGATCACTGGAATTTAAGATATTATTATAGAAGAAACTGAAGTATAACAGCAAGATCTCTAGAACTGAAGATTTTTCTGCCAGTAACTGTTGTGTGAGCTTGAATAAGTCCTTTTAATATTGTAGAGTTTAGTCTTTGGTGATATGTTGGTGATAACGACAGTTATCGTACAGTATATTTTGTGAGAATTAGAGCAGATGACATGCATGCTGTATAAACTACAAAGGACTAAATAACCATAAAAAACTTTTGAGAAAAATACATTTTTAATTAGTTTATTTATTACTATGTGTTTATATTTTAACTTATACTACCAAGAGAAAAAAAACTGTGTTTCTTTAAAATATTCAGTTTTACCTGTTTACCAATTTACCTATTTCACCTTTTCTCCACAATTTTTATCTTGCTCTATATCATTCTTATCACACAGATAACTTTATAGTAAAGAAGAGGAATGTGTTGACACCTACCTCCACTGAGGTACTTTTGGAGTAGAAGAGTCAATACTAATTTTCTACTCTTCTGCAGTAACTAATTTCTTAACTCTCTAGATTGGCTCTGCAAGAAATGCTCAAAGGAATTCTTAACATGGGAATGAAAGGTCATTACTCAACTATCATAAAAACAAATGAAAATATAAAACTCACATGTCTTATAAAACAATTACACAAATGAGAAAGGGAAAGGCATAAAATGGCAACACAGCAGAACTACACCAAACCATGCAGCTTATAAAACAATTACAGAAATGACAAAGAGAAAGAAATCAAATGGCTGCATGACAGAACTCCAACTATATGCTACTTAGAAAAAACTTAACTTACTGATAAAGACCCATATAGACTAAAGGCAAAGGTATAGAAAAATTTATTCCACACAAATAAAAACCAAACGAGTGTAGAAGTAACTATATTTATATCAGATAAAACAGGCTTTAAATCAACAACAGTAAAAAAAGCCAAAGAAAATTATTATATAATGATAGGGTCAACACAACAAGAAGATGTAACAATCCTAAATATATACATATCCAACACTAGAGCACCCATATTCTTCAAACAAATATTACTGTATGTAAGAAAAGAGATAAACAGGAATACAATAATGATGGAGAACTTCAACACCCCCATTGACAGTACTAGACAGATCATCAATACAGAAAACCAACAAAGAAACACTGGACTTAAATTAGACTTAGACCAAATGCACTTAACAGACATTTACAGAAAATTCTGCCCAGCTATCACAGCATATACATTTTCATCAGTACATAAAACATTCTCCAAGATAGATGATATATTAGGCCACAAAATAAATCTCTAGAAATTTTTAAGACTCAAAATCATATCAAGTGTCTTCTCAAATTACGATGGACTAAAACTAGAAATCAATACCAGGAGGAACTCTTAAAACTATACAAATACACGGAAAAAAACAAAAAACAAAAAACATCATGCTCCTGAATGATCTTTGGGTCAATAATAAAATTAAGAGTAAATTATTTTAAAAATCTGAAATGGATGAAAATGGGGACAAAACATACCAGACCCTCTAAAATATAACAAAAACAGTGCTAAGAGGGAATTTTATAGCATTAAATGCCAATGTTAAAAAAATTAAAAGATCACATATTAACAATCTGATAAT